AGCTCCATGGGGATGGACCTCATCCTATCACCTGTCCCATAGTTAGCTACTCCTCATGCTTTGCTTTAGGGGTATTGCAGCCCCTGGTGTGGCATGGGATTCTCTCTGGTGAGAAATACTTTCTCTGGGTCATAGAATCCCAGACTGGTTTGAGTTGGAAGGACCTTAAAGCTCATCTCATTCCAACCCCTTTGCCATGGACAGGGACACTCCCACTAGGTTGCATAACGCCTCATCCAGCCTGGTCTAAATTGCTCACTGGAGGAATTCCTCACTACTCTGGAGAAGTTCAAGGCATTCCCATGCATTGGGATGCAGCACTGGGAACCAGCAATGCTCCTGGAGCAACCACAGCAAGCAAACCAGAGCTGTGGTGGCTCTGGCTGGTTGCTGAAGTGAAGATCCACCCCTAAAAGACCTTCCCACCTGCAACTTCTCTCTTTAAACCTTTTGGGATTTATTTTGCAGGGGCTGTGTTGTTCTTCCCAAGAGATGCTCTGCAGATATCTGCCACCCACAGTGCATTGAGCCTTCCCAGCTGGTGCTGAGTCCTGGTCCTGGAGGCTGGGGAAGGTCAGAGGATGTGAGAGAGGAGGGAATGAGACTCATCCTGGGCAGCACAAGGAATCCTGCACAGTCAAACACCTCCTGGTGTGCACATCTGAGGGTCAGCCAGTGATGAGGTGACCCTGCCAGCCCCAGCAGAGCCCACAGGATGGCAGAGAACTTACCTGTGGCTTACCTGGATGTAGTTCTACTCCGCTGAGGTTGGTGTGGAGTGGGCAGTGCTGCCAGCTGTCCCCACAGCGAACCAGGAAGGTGACCCAGGAACACAACCTACCTGGATGGAGGATGCTGGATGGGCCCCAGCAGGGTGCCTCCACAGGTGAGGCTGGTCAGGAACAGTGTTGCCTTTGGAAGTGGGGGGGCATCAGTGTTGAAGCTCTCTAGAGGGAGCAGCAGGAAGGCTTGGCAGCCTGAGGGACTCCCCATGCCGAGGCTGATGGGAGGAATGAGAGGAATGTGCCATGTGGGCAGGGCAATGAGCTCCCAAAGGCAAGAGTGAGAGTGGAGCTCAGGGGCCAGCACAGGGCAGCAGTGCCAGCCAGTGTGGGGAGAGCCCCCTGATGGCTGCAGCCAGCTCTGTGGTCCTCGGCACCAGAAAGACATGGACCTGTCAGAGAGGAGCCAGAGAAGGGCTGTGAAAATCATTGGAGGGCTGAAACCCTTCTCCTGGGAAGGGTGAGAGGAGAAGGCTTTGGGGAGATCTTATTGCAGCCTATCAATAGCCAAATGGGGCTAAGAAGGATGGAGCAGTGTGCCCAGGTGGCATCATGGCTTGTACCAGCAATAGTATGGGCAGCAGGACTAGGGCAGTGACCTTCCCTCTGCACTGGCACTTCTGAGGTACCTCCAGTGCTGTGTCCAGTTCTGGTCTCCCACTGCAAGAGAGACATTGAGGGGCTGAGAGTGTCCAGAGAAGGGAATGGAGCTGGGGAAGGAGCTGGAGAGTTAGTCATATGAAGCTGAGGGGCCTGGGGGGACTCACCCTGGAGAAAAGAAGGCTCAGGTGGGACCTTCTCACTCTCTCCCCTCCCTGCAGGTGGGGTCAGGCTCTGTTCACAAGGAACAAGGGACAGGGCAAGAGGAAACAGCCTCAAGCTGTGCCAGTGGAGGTTCAAGTTGGATATTAGGAAAAACTTCTTCATGGAGAAGGTTGTCCAGCATTGGAATGTGCTCCCCAGGACAGTGGTGGAGTCACCATCCCTGGAAGGCTTTAAAAGATGTGTAGATGTCTTTCCCTGTGAGGGTGGTGAGACACTGGCACAGGTTGCCCAGGGAGGCTGTGGCTGCTG